AAGGGCCCCTTTTCCTTTGTTTTGAATTATGTTAATTGCATCATCAAACGAAGCATAGCTGACAGTACAATCTTGTTGATCTAAGTAATCGTTAACACTATCACCATAAGGATGTGAAAGATTGGTTATCATACGCCATCCACCTTGTTTTTTAGGTAATAAACCTATTGGGCTACATCTTAAATTTGATATTGGGGGGGCTGAAAAAGGACCCAAAACCCTACCTAATCCAATTTCCTTCTTAATCTTTTCTTCTAGATCGCTAGAGTGTTGAATTGCAGACTTCATATTTTTATATTCAACCCTTACTCTAGGGCCCTGATAATTTAACAAAAACCCTTTCTCAAAACCCTGCCCTAATATGTTGGCAACTTTTCTGTCAGGATAATTTATTAATAATTTGTGAAGATTGTTGGTTTTAATTGGAGAATGGCCTAAATCCCATAACTTATTGTGTAGGTCGAATTGCTCGCTGTGGGAATCTTGGGCGGAACTGCTGTTGTGTGGGCCTAGACTGGGGGAATTGTTTGACATTGTTATTCTGGGAAGATCTGCAATGTAAAGAAGGATGTGAACCATTACATTTCACACAAATATGCAAAAACTTGCAATTGTGTTTTTCGCAAACACCCTGAAAATTGTAAGAGTAACATTTAAATTGTTTGGGGGGATTCTGACTGTAATTTTGTACAGTGGGCTGCATATAAAACAACCAAAGTTCAGCATCAACCGAACCCCAGTTAAGATTTGAATCAAATGATTTTTTCAGCCTAAACTGGATGTCATAATCCCTCCAACCATAAGACGTAGGTGAACGCTCTGCACCTTTTCTAATTGTTGCCATATAACGAAATAAATTTATAGCTTGTGCAGAGTGCTTGGCGCAGTAAATTGAGGCAAAAATTAAAAAGGCATCAGTCCATTGTGAAATAGACATAATTTTTTCATCTTTGTACTTAGGTTTAACCTGAATTAAACCATCAAGATAAACAATATGATGCTGTATATCTGAAACTGGCTCTTTGATCAACAGTTTACTCAAAGCGACATACTCGTTATTCCAAATTTTTTCTTTCAATGTTTGAGAGACATGAGCTCCAAGCATTGATGCTACACTCTGAAAAGGTGTAGGCCTATCTAATTCAACCATGCAATTTATACCTGTTGTAGTGCTAGTTGTTGGCACAGGCAACTGCGGCTCCACTGTCTGTTGGGTGGGTACAGTCTGCACAACCGGAGTTGGGATGTCTGCAGTCTCGTAGACAGGCTGTAAGGGTACTGATTGAACAAGCGATTCTTGGCTGACCATGTAAGTTCTTGTTGGCACTGACATAGCTGCCTGGGAATAATGACTGGTGACTGATGTCGGTATGATGGGGTCAATGGACGTCGACGCTACTGTGGATGCTTGGGTGGTCACCGTGGAAGCTACAATACTATGTGCCGCAGAAGTCCTAGATACTGGGCGGGCATATGGGCTTTTGGCCTTCGATGCCCTGGTTTTATTGGCTCTCAGCATGGCTCATAAAACAAAAGAAATGTCATTTTAATTCCATTTAAAATTCATAATTTTTTTTTTTTTTTTTTTTAAATTGTAATATTCCTATTATTTATTTAAATATAATGCAAGCACAAATACAATTCATAGCAACTAAACTAATCTCTGTCATTTTTTTTTTTTTTTTTTTTTTTTTTTTTATTGTTTAATACCAAAACATATTACCATTTATTGCTACTAAACTAAACTTTTCCCTGTCAAGTTAATTGAATAATTTTCTACTCTGACTCATTCATCATTTTTTTTTTTTTTTTTTTTTTTTTTTAAAAACATGGCTGACCTATCAGCAAGGTCGAGAACATTTTTCCAAAAATCTAATCTGATAAATCGTGACTAAAACCCTAAATTTTTAAATAAATCATTCAAGTAATTGATCCTAATTAATAACTCATTAATTAAACAAACTTACTTTGACTTTCTCTTCGTGATGCCTTAGATGAAAGTAATTTTCTTCAGTTAAAATTTTTGGTACCAGCAGCTTTGTTGTTCAACAGGAAAAGGAAGTTTACCTTGCGCATGCCCAGTTGTATAAATGTGACAAGTAAGAGTTGTCTATCTTTCTATAGTCAATAATTATGTGCTCAAAATAACCTAGTTTATCCAGAGGAGATAAACTTTATTATTAACAAAGGTATTGGTCTACCACTGAGGCCATTCTGATCTAGATGAATCTGCTTAAGTTTTTGATGGTAACAAAACACAATTAGTATTACCAGTAATTCCTCTCCATTTATTTGTGTCAGCTAAGTCACCTTTCATGAGCAGCTTTACTATGAGCCCATCCTTCGAATCATCTGGTGCTGTATCTGTCTGCCAAATAGTTTTCATTGTGACGTCATAATAGAGCGACGCAAAAACACAATGCTCCGTGACGTATTTCTTGCAACAAAATTCATCAAAAAAAGACGTAAACAACCAACAAAATGCATGGATTGCATTAGAATGGGAATAACTTATCTTCTAATTTGGTATTTGCGACCGTTAATGCTGATTTATCATTTAATAAATGATTTATGTCGGGGAAAATCAAAATATTTTAGCGTAACTTTCCATATTCATTATTTCATTTTTTTATAATGACTTCAACTATTTTCTTTTTCAAATTAATAACTGCTTGTATCTTATTATTTTCCTTTAATCGTTTTTATTATCTAAGAATTAATTTTTTTTGAAAATCACAACGAAAGGATGAAAAAGCCTCGAGAAATATATGATGCCAAATTCAAAGATGATCATTTAATGCTGAAAAATTGCATTGTCAGAAAATACAATCTATAATTAGGTCGAAGGTCGACTGACTTTTTCCATACAACTTGAACATTATTTACTCCTCCATGGCACCTGATCCCACCTCTGATGTTTTGGAGGTCTGTGTTTGCTCTTCTTCTATTTTGTATTGTTTTATGGACTTCAGTATTGAATACTGTTCGTTATCTCCATATCCTTATTTACATATTAAATTGTCAGTTACCAGTTTATTATTATCTATTTGACTATTATTTTTAACAAAATAGAGTTCAAAGCAACATATTACAATTAAAACATATAAATATGTATACATGCGTGAACAGAACATATAACATATACTGAAAGGATTAAGAAACGCATATTAAACTTTTGAGTTAAATTAAAACAATTATTTCAGATATGTTTTTCAGCATTTTTATCATACATTTTAATTCATCTTTAATCAACAAGTTACCAAAATTTTGTGCGATTTTGAGTCATAGTTCCTGAGATATTGATATCAATATGGTGACACCCCCCAAAAATAAAACTAAAAATTCTCATAATCTCCCTTTCGCATCAGTAACAAACTTGATTTTCCTGTGCATTGAGTTCACCAGAGCATTTATTTTTTCAAAGCATTATTATTCAACCCTTTCGACGGTAGTCTTAATGGCTGAGATTAGCTGTACTATTCCAAAATCAACCAATCCCCCCGCTCAATCGAATCCCGCGAATTTTCGATTAAAGAAAGAATATACAGAACCCAGCAGGTTTGGTACTTGTGAATGTTTGTAAAAAAAATATCAATAAATATTAGCTACATTTTCCAGTTTAAACATGCTTAAAAACATAACACAAACGACGCGTACGTGCGCGTTTGAGAGTAAAATCGACGTAGGCTGGCCAAGCTCGCGGCCCAAATTAGAGTGAAGAGTTTCTGTCAGTTTAGGGTGAAAAAAGTGAGTATGTTTGTCTGCTGTATAAATATCAGTTTTGGTGATAATGCCTTGACAATAACCGAGGTGGCGTCATGAAAAGCCCTATCTTGTTGTGACGTTGGTACGCGCCAACGTCACCGTCATGGTTAATTGGAAACATTTTAAGTTCACTCTCTGACAACCAAAAAACACTTTTACTTGGTTGAAAAGTTGAAAACAATCTGAACATCAGCGTGTTTTTGCCTTTTTATTCACTTGTGCAATATTGAATTCAGTTACTAAACCCACAGTAGATTCCGTCAGCCATACCACAATTGCAAGAAATTTATACTGACTGCAAATATGCAAAAACGATGTCTATAACTCTAATGCATAGTATGGTACTACAAAATGTTATAACAAAATTATCATCATTATCATGCACGTGTTTTTGACTTTTTATCATTTCCCCTACGTGATGCCATACATTTCATGGTTGAGTAGTTTTGACTAGTGATTTTAGTGCAAAGTGACCAAAATAAACATCTGACCAATTTTCATATTTTTCGGTCACATAGTCAGAAAATTTTCCCATATCATGTTCTTGTGCGTTTCTTAATCCTTTCAGTATATAAACAAAATGTGTTTATTATCACACCATATTTCCATATAATAATAATACATGTATATATAAATCTTATTAAGCTGGAGGTTTGGCTCTCTCGTTAACAATTTTTATAAACAAAGTTTACATAATAGTCCAACATTTATGGAAGAAAAAAATTCATTTAACTTGATAAGATTTGGTCTTGAAACATAATATTTGGAAATATACAAGTTTCTTTCATCTTTTAACTTGTTACAGCATAAAATATAGTGAAATTCGTCACCAACATCATTTTTACATTAAAAAACCCTACTCCATTAAGTCTTACATACCTTCCCATCTTTCCGTTTCAATTTTTAGTTTATGATTGGATGTCCTGAATCTAGCTAAAATCTAGCTTATGAATACTTGAGACGCTATCTACATAAAACTGACATACAAAGTTTAAATTTGTAAATAAATTACATATATATCACACCTTTTGAAGAAGCATTGCAGTTTGATTCCCAATTTTGTTGTAACTGATGTAGTGTTTTTTGTTTCAAACTTTTATTTGATTCTGAATCCAAATATCACAATATCCACAATCGTCTAAAATTGATTTCAAATTCGTTTACAATTTAGATCACGTCAAATGTCAAATTTAGCACAAAGTAATTTATACATTAAACTCCTTAAAAAAATCAAGTTCAAGTTCATTTTATTCATTCAAACCAATTAATAGTACATGAGGTTCTACAATGTATGTACAATATATGCAAAAACAATATACAAGATACACATGAAATGGCGGAAATACATTCATATTATGAAGTAACAAAATAATTATGGAGGATAGACTTGGTTGTTTTCATGTAAAAATTTTACCAATATGCAACAATTCTTATTTTGATATGTACAATTAAAGGTAATCTCACTAATTCACCATAGATCATAAAATTGGGAGTACTTGGTTTTAAATTTAAAAAAATTACAGAACTTTAGATGTTATCTTTCTACAATTTAAAGATAACCATAACCTCCAACCTTCACAAACATATAACAGAATAGGAACTTCAGTCTTATCGAACGAATACAGTTGGTCCTACAGAGAAAGGTGTTATTGGTTACCCTTTTTCAAAATACCATACATAACTCTAGTCGCTCTTTTATTAGCATATTGTTTTGTCTTAACAAAGTAGCCTGTTGTTAAATTTATAATGCCAAGATATTTATAATTTTAATTTCAATTTCTTTGTTATTACAATAAAGACATTCTGTGGTGTACGTTTCTTTGAAAAAAAAATAATTACTTTGTTTATCAATATTAACTTCAAGTTTATATTTTTTAACATAACAGAAAAAACCCTGTGCAGTTGATTTGTAAATCTTCGGGAGATTCGGAAAGATAAACTGTATCATATGCATACAAAATAATCAGCATTTTCAACAAAGCACCAAGTTCTTTTTCAATCTCATATGATATATAGTTGAGACTCTAATATTGTAATGTACAATTAAAAAAAAGATCCTACATCATTTAGAAATAAATCAAATAAAAATGGCAATAAGTTTTCCCCTTGTCTTACCCCTGTTTTGCATGGAAAGTATTCAGTAACCATAATTTACTTTCAGAGTACACTTTCCCTATTACATCAATACATTTTCCAGTAATATTATTTTGAGTAAGTTTTTGCCATAGTCCTATTCTTCATACATTGTCAAAATCAGCCTTAAAATCTATAAATGCACAATGCATGTATACTGTATACCGGGAAATTTTTGCCTCCGTTTCATTTTCGTCCCTTTCGCCCAACCCTCTTTATGTTTAAACCAAATTGAGTCTAACAATTCATTGGTTATAATAATGTTTAACTATTCTGCACTATAACTTATAATGTTTATAAAACCCAAAAATCCATCGTCCTACAAGAAATAAAACACGAAGAGAAATATGATACAGGGTTTTTTTTTTTAATTGAAAAGATGTAACATCACATTTTAAATCAAACACTTTAAAGTATGAAGGAGATTTAAAATTTATTTTTACTTCCTTATTGTTTTCTTACTTGGGTAGTTTTTAATAAAAAACATAGGACACAATACATAGGGTATTTATTTTTGTTAGAAAAAGATATAAAAAATTATTCGCCAGTTTTTGTTTCTGGTCTATCTTATACAGCATCTGTAGCTTGGAAATCACATGGAAAACGTGCGTCATAGTAACTGTCCAGTGTATTCACAATGCTTGTGAAGGTCGGTCTCTCTTCTGGATTAATGACCCAACAACTTTCCATCAGCGTCCCATGTCTGTAAATTTCAATAAATACGGTATGCGAGTCTTTCTCCAGTTTTTTTTTCATTTTACAACAGAAGCATCTATTGGATATATAAAATAAATGACTGCCTTTGTACTTACGCTTCTGGGCAGAATTCTGGAACACTCATTCGGTAGCCACTTTTAACTTTCATAGGGACAACTTTGCCATCAATACCAGGGTAAGGATTTTGTCCTGTACATGAAAAAACCGAAACAAAATTATAGTAAATACACTATGAAATTAGGTATTAGAGTGTATTAATGATATTTTACCGACAAAGCTCACCAGTACTGAATGTCTCCCAGATGACAACCCCGAACGCCCAAACATCACTCATTGAAGTACAACCCTTCATGGATTCATAACACTCGGGAGCTAGCCACTTTATTGGTTTCCTTTCCTGTAGGTCAAGTTTATGACAAGAAATCACATTTTTTAAAATTCAAAATACGAATTTGTAGAAATTATGAAAAATTCTTTGTTTTTCTTAGGACTATTTCCTTTTATCAGTTAAAAAAGCACAAACCTTTCAATTAAATCATTTCATTTTTCCAGAAGAAAAGTTATGTAGTTTTACTGGCTGAAGACCACATCTGTACGTCAGGTCTTTTACAATAGGATCACGATATGACAATAAAAATGAGAACCTACCTTGGCTTCTTTTTTCTTCACTTCGTTCTCCCCTTCCTCTGGTGTGGGTCCAAAGCCTGCTACTTTAGGAACAAGACGAGAAGTCAGAAAAACATTTCTTGTTGCCAATCTCTTGTGAACAATCTAAAATATATTAATGAAGCAATGTTTAGCTCAAGACCATGCCACATATCTATTTACGCCAAAAACTTGAGATCTCAAGTACTACTGCACTAAATAAATGCTACTTGAAACAAAATAAATATATATTTTTTTTAAATTACAGTTTATTACTAATATACGATTTGAAGAGTCAAAGACATGACGCTTTTTATATACATACCCCTTTGATTGCTAAGGCTTCCATTCCTTTAGCGATTCCCTGAATCATCTTACAGAAGTCTGTGATCAGGTCATCGTTTACTTTATTTCTCTGATCTATCAACCACTCCCTCATTTGTCCAAGTTCACAGTACTCCAGCAACATGTACGGACCGACTATTTTAGGGAGATTTAAATATGATAGTGTTTTAAACATTATTGTATATGATGCTGAAATAAGATGCATAGGAAAGATCTTCCAATCAACTACCCATTTTGTTTTTAATTACGAGGGGCATTCAATAAATAATTTCATTGGGGCTCGGAAAGAAACAAAAAAAAACCGATTTTCTATGATTTAGTCTGAATGATTTAACTCAAATATTCTCTTAATTAAAACACATGTCCGTAACATTTTTATTCAATTTCTTATTGTTTTAACAATACATTTTTGAGTATGACCCTTCGTAAAATGGAATATGGCAGATCCTATGATTTGCTGTACTTGTTTTTTTCTTTCTGATAGATGTTTATCTGAGTTTGGGAAATGAAACAAGTCAAAGGTTGAAAAATCTGGCAGATTTTATTGGTGTGACAAAACATTAACTTTCTGTGTATCCCCCAAACTCCTTTACTCTTCAAGGCCTGTGGGTTTGGACGCTGTCATGAAGAAAAGTAATGTAGTGAATTCCTCATTCTGTTTCCATCCTCTCATAAACCTTTCATTTTTTTGCAAAACATTTGTTTTCTAGACTCCACTAGAAATTGAACTTCCTCCCCGAATATGAATTTGAACAATAAGACCCCTAATGTTTAAGAAAATAGCATATAACCCTGTTTTTGTATTCTTGCAATTCTTTGTTCTTTTTAGGCGTTTGCAGTTTTGTCGTGTGCATCTTATTGTAAATTTGTTTTGAGGGTTTAAAGCAAAATGGATTCAAGTTTCATTATCTGTTTGAATTTCAGACAAACGTGGATAAGTACAATTTCTGATTTTTAAAACAATTGTTTAGATATTCCTACACGCTATCGTTTTCAGTCATTTTCCAAAATATAGGGTGACCTTTGAGTATTAAACTTTTTTACCATCAAATGTTTCTTTAAAACAGTGTAAACTACCCCCAAAATGATTTCTGTCAATTCTGCTATGTGTCTTAAAGTCAATAAAACATAATCAGTGATAATTTGTTAAATTTTCGCAAATATACATTGGTTGTTGTAAGTCCTTGTTGCCAAGGACGGTACCCATTTTTGATGCCCATTATATAATTTTTGTTTATTGAAATCCACCTGTTCACGTGTCTATAAAACAAACATTGGTTGCTTTAAATTTCACATATTTCAGTTAATATATTTTTGGGAAATTAACAAGTTTTACAACTGCTTAAATGAAGCATTTAATTTTACTCTAGTTTACTGATCCTTGACCATTCATTTTTAATTCAGTGTCTCGAATAGCCCTTGTTTTCCAACTTCCCACAATGAAATAATGCGATGAAAAGTGGTCACATGAACTGTTATCAATTCATTAAAGATTCAATACTGAGAGAAAGCCAAGCTTAATGTCATATGATTTCTATGTTGTATGTCATCGATCCAATGACATTATTTATTGAACGTCCCTCGTATATACATCTACCTACAATTAATGTTTTGGTAACTTTTTAAAACAAATTGTCGACAAATTTTTTTCCGTTGTTTCCCGATCATGACAAGGAGCATGCTGCGGGTTTGACCGGTCACCAGGGTTTGCTCACTCCTCCGTGGCACTTGATCCCACCTTCCATGTTTAAAGAGACCCGTGTTTGTTCTGCTCCAAACTAAGTCCGTGTTTGCTCTGCTCCAAATCTTTTATTGTTTGATGGACTTTTGAGCTTTAATATACCGTTCGTTATCTCCATATCTTTCATAAGACAACTATTTTTGAGACTCGGAAATACAAGCAGGCAAATGATATCGTATATGACTTTAGAATTTTCTTCATGTGTTCTTTTTCCAATTAGTTTTGATGAGATTTTTTTGTGAAAAAATTGATTTTGTTGCAACTTAATGAAATAAAATCAGATGATGACGTTAAAACGTTGATAATGTAAATGAAAGATAAACTTACACAGTGGGTGGTTGAGTACAGAACCCAAGAAGGTTATAATGTTATCGTGAGGGGGAACCTCGGTGGCAAAGAAGCTGATCTTGGCCTGTAGAACGAGGCGGTCTTCCTCTGTGTAGTCCTCTGTAATTATAGGCATACATAACGAGAGTGTTCGGTTAAATTTACTTGCAATATCAGTAAAAGTATGAGTATATTTTGCGTCTCTGAACTACATAATCAGGGATCGGTTTTAATAAGTAGTAATGAAATTACAAAAATTGAATTTAAAATTTATCATCTACATGTATTAAACTATTTCTACAATCTATTTAAAATTTTATTTTAGAATGTTGTTTTGTTCTGTTTACCACAGGGTGTACTGTTTCAACGGTCTTCAAAGAATGCATTTACTAGGGGATTATACTGAATGATATATTTTAACACCTTTTAATATTTTGGCGACAACGGTGTCTTTTTTGCAGAGTTGAGCTAGATAGATATCAGCAAAGTCTCCCGATTTCAGTTTCCCCTTCAGTTGTATATCATCAAATGTGTATAGCCAGCCTTCATTCGCAGAGAATACCATTTTCCCAAAATCATAAATGTCCTCGTCTTGGAAACGCCCACTGTAAACCCCAGTCTTAAAGAAAAAATAAAGTATCTTTGTTTATAAGCAGTCTCTGTAGGTAAAGAATGAGTGCATATTAGTACGTCATTTGGAACCTTTTCAGATACCCATTTTAATCTTAACATTTAAGGAATGACTCTAATTCTTGGCCAAATTATTCGATTATAACCAGGTTATAATCGAATAATTTTGCCAAGAATTAAAGTCATTCCTTATAATTTAATTTTAAAATAATTAAACAACTGTGTGTGTAAAATTGTGCTGCTTTTTATGAGTTCAAATTTGCAGCTCAATAATACATCCCTAGTAACGGAAGTGATATGAAACAAGGGGAGGTAATAACTGAAACACAGATCTAGCAGCCATGATGTTTGTTTACACGAGGTAAGATCGAGATACTGTTTGAAGTTAAATCTGGAATTTTCCATGAATCCCAAGGACTGGAAATCAGGGGATTGCATGGATACAGATGATTCAGCTGGTTGTCAAGGGGGTGTGTCCCCATACCAAACCAGGTTATTGATTGTTTTGCGTTCCTTTTTGGAAATCAACCATTGAGAGACTAGAATACAAACAAAATTAAATTATTACAAAATATCGCTAAATTAATCTATGATTATTGTGTAAGCATATGCTTTTGATATTTATGCCCTGAATTTTTTGTCATACATATTTATATAATTACAGACAATGCCATTGAAAAGAACATATTTAAGCCTTCAATTCCGGAAATTTGAACGGGACCACTATCGAATTTCAGGTACCAACAAATACGCGACATTTAAATCGCATGGATTTGGAATGTAAACAATAGCACATACTTGTGTATGATTTTTTTGCAATCAGATACTACACTACGAATTTAAATGGTGAAGAGAGAGAGATTGTGTAGTTTCATGGTGCACAAATAATAAATGATTGTAGTGTTTAGGGATGAGGCAGACCATAATACAGTGGCGACATGAGCCTATATTTACTAATCTCACTATCAATACCAGAATTCTTTCAAAACACTCCTAATGGAAAATACACAGTAACATAAGAGACATATAATCTTCGAACCTTAATAAAATTTGCGCAAAAATATTCCATAGATTGAAGTTGGAAGTACGATTAGATACTGACCGAATAGAAACTTCAAATGACAAAAAAAAAAAAAAAAAAAAAAAAAAAAAACAATGAAATATTTATTGAACGCGTTTGCGTATTGAAGCATGGAATGTCACGTGAGTAAAGTGATTATAATATCAATCGTTGACACTCGGGGACCTGTTAATTTAGTGGCTAACTTGACGGTAGTTTGGAGACTTTTTCAAAAAATTAGATATGAGCCGCAACTTGGCCAACATTGTCCTTTGGATCAAATATGTATAAGTTTAAATTAAAATACACATTCTGTGCAAATGAGACCAATGGCCAAGTTGCGGCTCGATGTAAACAATGTCGTTGAAAACTGGTATGCATATGAATAACAATAGAAATGTGACAAAACTGTTAGACCCCCGTCTCAAAAGCTAGTGTCGCTCGGCATTATTTAGTACTTTCATGTAATATAATATACCAAAACCTGCTCTTAAGACATTGTTTAATACCTATAAAACATAAATTTAAATAAATTCGGGATTTTATTTTGCGCAAAACACCGGGACCAAACTCTCAAAGCTTAAGTGCACTCATCCTTTCATTGGTATTAATTGATAATCAGTTCAAACATCATAACTTTACCTTAATCATATTATACTTTTCATTGCATACTTTCCAGTCTATTCCAAAGATTAACTTATCTTTTGGATTTTTGTTTGTATCGTTATCACGTAATTATAAGAATAACTCACAGAAAAGCTTTCAAAAATTATTGACTTAGACAAACCCTTCTCTTTCCCATCAACAAGGTAACTGGTCTCTTGAGGTACATGGTCAATCTACGTTTTGTTTCTGGATTTAAATGTCCATTTTTCCAGAGAAGAAAAAATATCAGAAGAATCCCCAGCAGGATGGTGATTACTACAAAACAAAATACATTTTATGGATAGATTATGAACTGTACAATTTGTTGGATCTTTAGTTTTGGAAGGTGCTAAGGGCCTGTTACATTCTTGGACGCCTTACCTGCACTGACTCCGGCAATCATAGCTATGGGTATGACAGTCGGTGATGTAAATCTCAAGGTTTTTACAATGGCTTCTGAATTCCCTGTATTGTTTGAAATCACTTCAATACAATACTCTTTGCCCGCTTCAAGATTGTTCAAAAAATATTCCGTTTTATCTATTGGTAAGGTAATCTCCTTTGGGGGTCTCGACCTATCACAATCGGTGTAAATAAAAATAGTGACGTCAGAGACTTTGTAACATGACGGGACATTTTCCCACGTGAATCTGACTCCGTCTCCATAACTCTCCCTTTGAAGATTTTTTACTCCAATACCTACAGAAAAGAATAATTAATACATTAGGGATTCGCTTTGAAGAGTAAAACAAAGGGTAAATAAATGATGTATACATGATAACATCCTTGTCATACGTATGTTGGACAATAAATAAGATTGCCATATTACCCAAATATTAGAATTGTTGGGTTGCGATATACAAGTGCATAGAAATGCACTAAATTCCTTTAATCAGAAATATGTTACGCAAAGAAAAGATCAAATTTCTGGTCAGTTAAACTTTTTTTTTCAAATTTCGATACGCAAGAACATGAACAATTTCTATAACGAGGTAAATTATTGGGAAACAAGTTGATGAAACAAGAATATCAGAAGTCTCGTTTAAAGTCAGCATTTGGTAAGTTCTTGCAATGACCTTGTCAGCAAACACCACTTATCTTTGAGTCAAATGCTATCTGACTTTTTTTTCAAACTAATTGTTAGTCCATTATTTATATACTGAATTGCCGACGAATTTTCCTGTTGTTTCCCGATCATGACAAGGAGTGCACCACTGGTTTGACCGGTCGGTAGGGCTTGCAAACTCCTCCATGGTACCTGATCCCACTTCTGATGTTTTGGAGGTCCGTGTTTGCTCTGCTCCTATTTTTGTTTTGTTTAATGGACTTTTGATCTTGAATGCTGTTCGTTACTGCCATATGTTTCATTTTAAAGAATAAGTCAACCTTGTGTTCGTGATCGAAATATAAAGATAATTTGTACTCAGATCAGAGAAGTATTCTCACCGGCGTCTATTCCATCAAACAATGTCAAACTGGAAAGCTAAAAATAAGAATATTTTTGACTTAAGTGACACATAGTACAATTTGTTGTAAGTTGCTGTGATACAGAACATGAAAAAGAATACAAATTTAATGACAGGTTTTTAAAATCTTAAACAAGCTCGATACCTCATGACGTGTAACATTGGAGGATAACATGGCCTGGTTGAAAGCCTCAATTTCCAGAATAAAGGTAACATTAGACAACTGTTGTTTTTCAATAGCCAGCCAACAATTGTCAAAGTCGAATTTCATATTCTTTTTGTAACATTCTCCCATGGGAATACAATAGCATTCATCAGTTGATAAACAGTCAGCCAACTGAAAATATATTCACCACAGAATAGCTGTACATTTTTGTTAAAATGTTCTATGCATTCCAAAAGTAAAACATCTAATACGTATGGAAATTTATGAATATATAATGTTCAAACCTGAATGGGGTTGTTCATGAAAAAACCTTCTTTGTGTATCTGTTGTTGTTTCTTCTTCACCATCAGTCGCCATTGCACATGTCGGACACCGCTATGCTCATCAGAAGCTTGTATAGAAACCCTGTGGAACAACAACAACATGACACAGAAACTCTTAAAATTCGTATCTGTAATACAAATGAGTTAAAATACGAAGATTTATACATTGTTTTATTGTTTTTTTACCTGCTCGAATATTCATGAGTTCCTTTTCCAACATTTTTTGTGAATATCGCTTCGCTTGAATAAGGTGGCGAACTGTCCATGCTAACTAGTCTGGAATCAGTTCTAGTGTTGTTGACTAGATCACGAGCTCTAACAGTTATATTTATACTGTCACCGTCTTTCCATTCGTGTTTTAGAACATATGTGCCTTGAGTAATCTTTTCAATTTTAATCCATTGGTTTTCCATGTTGCCAGGATCTGTTTCAGACAGGCAAGGTGGCTTTGTTGTCACAGAGTTTGTTGTAGGTACAGTGAAAGAAGAAGCTGTAACATTATCGTTATTGGGTTCTGACGTTGTGTTTGCGTCCACTGAAGTTGGTGTATCAAGTATATTAGCTGTAGTGATTTGGTCTTTCGAAGTTCTTGTTTCTTTGGTGGCATCTTCTGAGTCATTGATCGATGAGTTTGAATATGAGATGTACGTGTAGTAGACTTCAAATTCAGTTATTCCATGCAGATTTTTAACGGCGAGAACGCTTCTTTTCCCAGTATGGTCATCATAAAAGTCTTTAACGTCTTTTACTATTTCACTCTTTAGTTCATCTACGTCACCACCTCTTATCTGCAGTGGGAACTTATCGACAGACAATAACAAGTGGTTTTCAACATGATACAAGTTTCTAAAGTAGTCTCTCCACGTGATTTCCACTGTGGAACACCTTGATTGCCAGCTGTAATTGCTGAGTTTCTCTGCACTGGACACGTAGAAGTTAGATTCTTCAGTTGTTGTAATTGTAGAGTTTGGGTCATATATAGCAATCTGTCTTGCAAACTCCGAGTTGTTAGCTTTATCTGTCACTTGTAAAATTGCTGAATAAACTCCTGGTTCTGATGGAGTAAAATCTGGGAAAGGTAGGCTAGAAAGGTTTCTTTCTTCTCGATAGAACGGATCCATTGGTGCTTCTTCTGTTAATGTATTAGAATGAAGATTCTTCTTTAGTTGATGAATTTCTAGGAAGTATGTCTCGACACCCGAGGGAATGTCATCCCATCCGTCAACTTGGAATGTGAATGGATCCTAATGAAATATACATGCCTCTAGTTAGTCGTAGATTTTTTAATGCTATGTAATGTGTACAATAATGGTAGATTATCTTTGGCCATCGGGATTTTACTTCAAATAAAAGAAATCAAAAAATGAATGGATTTTACACCTAATACTGTAATAAGAGTACAGTGTACTTTTATGTATCTACCTATTGAACTTAAAAACTATTTGCAATGGATATGGATTCATTTCATTTGTACTTGTACCAAATGTTTTGAAACTAATAATGATCGACTTACCTTGGTAGCATCCTTTGGAATTTTCAATGGTAACAGGTCGGGCAAAGTACAATTATGAGATTCAGAACAGTGTTTAGGTTTGGTGAGGTCAAACAGAAAGTCTATAGATTGCTGAGATTTTACTCGATCATAAAGCTCCTTTCTGACAAAATGGGTATTGTTCCACAAATCTCTAAAGCCCCCTATCTCTGCCAGCGCCTGTATTGTTAATCTAAAATTGTCCAATCAAAAAAGTAGGTATTCCTTTTGGAAGGCATTTCGCATAATACTCTAGTTAAAAAGAACGTGTGTTAACTTACTTATCTCCGTCCTCTAGTAGCCTGTTGAATTGATCATATGAAATGTTACATTTTAGCGGCCGATTGAATGGTGAAGTATCATTAAAATCACCGGGACAGGGTAAGGTCTCATCTAGACCAAGATCAATCGTTCCGCCTACAAAATGTGATTCAAGTTAAACGTCAATGTATATACTTCAAGAAAAACATTGATGTATATCACTGATTATTAACTATATAATATCTAGATCTATATATTACCTTATACTGTTATAGCACCAACCATAGTGAGGGATTAAGAATTATAAAACATCTAAATATAAACTTTATTTAAAGAAACATTAAATTAAGAATTCTCATGAATATTCAAATTAAAATGATTTCAAATGGTAAGTACCACCCGCTCGGCCTATTTTGGTAAGGATGACTCTTGCATTCGCAGATACGATTCCAATGCTATGATTGCGAATGTAAGATGGCGGAAAGGGGATGATGGGGTTGTAAAGGGCATCGAAGTAAATTAAGAAGAAGTTGTAATCGTCCCGGTCCACCCATACTGACTGAAAGGAGCTGAAGCCGTCTGCATTGAACTTGTATAATACTTGATTGTCAGTTCTCTTTACATTCAATAATGTTGCATTCAGGTTGGTAAAATTAACTTGATGGGTAGAATCAACTGAAAGAAGAAAAACATTACAGATATAGATTTCAGTGGTATGTAAATCTTTCATGAATAACTTTGTCATTAGAAAGAAATGGTCGCTTACTCTGAAGGCAGGATTCCCCTCCAAATCCCGGATCACATGAACAGGACGTATCGGTGCAGTTACCCGGATAACAGGGTTTCAGATGGGAACAGGTAACGACTGAAATAAAACGAAATATATCAGTAATATTACAATTATAAAGTTTGCATTCTCGATAGGAACGTTAAGCAACAAATAAGAAAACCAACAAGCGAAAGATAAGCATGCAAAAAGAAACCAACCAAAAGAACTCGATAAAACAATTTACTTTTAAATCTATATGAGTGGGCTGTATGGCAAGTCCTTTTTCTATTTATTCGTGAAATAAAAATTCTCTTTCAATAAGAGATATATCTCTCTAGCATAGAGAGATATCTCAATACCTTATAGAGATATCTCTTTGACTAATAGAGATATCTTTATACCTTAGAGAGGTATCTCTTTAAATAAAAGAAATATTTCATTTTGTAAGGGAGATACCTCTTTCACTAAAAAAGATATCTTTATAAGCTAGAGAGATATCTCTTCAAGCGAGAGAGATATCTCTTAAAATTAGAGAGATATCTCTTTAACAATGTTTTCTTTCTTCAAGAGATATTTCTTCATATTTTCAAAAAGAGATATCTTTCTAAGCTAAAGAGATATCTCTTTTTATGAAAGAGATATCTCTTTTCCAGTCATCCTTAAAATAAAATGATTAATTCTCCCCTTTAAAACGAAAGCGAAACAGGAATAAAAGTCTCTAGAATAACTTCTCTATTATAAGAAAAAAGACTGAAAAATATATGTACTATGTAGACAAAAATGCTATAAATCCCTTGTTTGAAACAACATATAATAATGACTAATTTGAAATCTAGACAACACTGAATTGCTTGCCATGTTTTGTAATGCTATAATGTAGAATATCATGAATATGTCGAAATTTAAAAATACTAAATGTACGTCCGTGAATAAAAAGCTTACTTCCGGTAAAGGGAGAAGTAATTTCAAATGGAATTTAAATAACAATAATGAAGAGATATATCTCTTTGCAATAAAGAGATATCTCTTTTTGTCTGAGAGATATCTCTTTAAGATCCTTTTGAAAGATATCTCTTTCACTTTGAGAGATATCTCTTATGATAAACTAAGAGAGATATCTCTTTTACTTTAAGAGATATCTCTTTAACTTGGAAAGATGTCTCTAAAAGTAAAAGAGATATCTCTCTAGATAAAAGAAATATCTTTTTAATGTTCAGAGATATCTCTTTTCATGAAAGAGATATCTCTCCAGGAGAAAGAGATATCTGTTCAAGTGGAAGAGATATATCTCTTTTAAAAAGAGATATCTCTCTAAGCATACGAGATATCTCTCCAGGAGAAAGAGATAACTCATTCTCATCAAGATATCTCTGAAAAATGAGAGATATCTCTTTAAGTTGGGAGATATCTCTATTTTTCAAGAGAAATCTCTCTAAAATTAGAGATATCTCTGTAATTTTAAGATAAATTTTATTTCTGAATAAATAGTAAAAGGGCTTGCCATAGGGCTGCGTTCGATTTGCTTTCTTGGAGTTGTGTATTTGTGGTTAAAAGCTCAGTTATTACAAATGTAGTTAAAGTTATCCAAATTGTATTAATTAACTTTTTATTAATAATTATTAATGAATAATAATAAAAAGTAAATACCTTCTTCACACGTATTTCCACCCACTATATGTGGACACTGGCACGTGTTGAGAGACACACAGCTTCCTCCATTTTTACAAGGGGGGTTGCAAATTGCTGTAAATAATTCTTGCATATAAGAAAGAAGCTGTGTTCTACAAATTAATGCAAACTTTTATTCAAGAATCTATTTTTATCCTTACGCGTTTGACATTCACTGCCGATGTATCCCGGACAACATATCTCAATGGTTTTGTAATTTGTAAGACGTCGGTATCCCCTTGAGGTGCTGCAAAGTACAATAACAAAATTGATTTGATTACCTACAAGTTAGCCTTCTCCTTAACAAATATAAATTGTCGAAATATATACTCAGTTCTTGATTTATAGTAGAAATCTAGAGAATACTTGCATATAAAGGCTTAAGTCTTTAGTGTCATAACTCTTTTGTGTAATTAAATTAAATCTAGCTTAAAACTATTGTTAAAAGAAGTAGTTACCCCCTCCCCTCTCTCTCTTTCTCTCTCTGGGTGGGTGGGTTTGTAATGTGTGTTCATTAATCTGGTTTATACTACACATTCCCACTTTTTGAAAATCAGGTAGAAAAAGGTAAGATTTTTGTGTGAATACATGTGTAGGTGGAATTTTTGTGTAAACAAATAATCAACTATGAAAACATATAATTGCTGTATAAACAATGATTATTGAACACCTACTGGAATAAAGGACAGATAAACATTGCTTTAAAATTATAAATCTGACCTTTCACTAATATTTCAAAAAAATGTTCTTTAAATTAAATAATATGTCCCTGTTAATCTATTAATCTATTCGTTTCAATTGAAATACCTTTTCCCGATAATTCTATTTATTTTATGTTCTAAAATCAAGATTTTTTTTTAAAGAAAAGTGCTTTCTTTTGAGACCCTTTTTGTTATTTTCTCAATCCGTATGAATAAAATAAATATTTTTTTTTTATATAAATTTATTCCTTATTTCCTTAAAATGTACAAAATACAAGTAAATCTAAAAGGGGGTGTAATTAGTCTAATTAATGTAAAAACAAATTAAGTATCAAACATCTATTGTTAATTTCAAGTGGGAATAGGTGGAATCGAGATTTTAAAAAGTGGGAATAGGTAGAAGACACCATTAATCTATAACTCACCACCACCACATAAATGTTGAGGCACAGTACTGTTGAGAAGTATAGTATATCGTCTGTTTTGTACATTTCTTCCTATGAAAAATAAAAATTAAACCGATAAAATAAAACATGAACTGTGTCATCAAAAAGGATTAGTTTAAAATTCCCATAACAAAGAAGTTCTGATAAATTTCCTGATAAATTAAGTTCTCTTCCTTCTTTAGATATGATCGCCTTAACTGCTATTAAATACGACACGAGTTTGCTATCTTTCTTTAAATTACCACCGAAAACCTATTTTTTAATCAATAAATTATCCCTCTTTTACTTCTTAGGGTGATTGATGAGTATATAATATGCCTTCCTAGTTTTAGGGAAATGAAAAATTTCAGACGAGTTTTTGGTGCTATAAATGGTATTTTAACAAAAGGAAGAGATGCCAGTGTTGTTTTAATCCCTAAGAAAGTGTTTCATGCAGTCTTCAATATTCAATAATTAAGGAGAGCTTTACAATGGTTTAAATAACTGGCCTGATTAGTGTAAAGGACAAATTATCATCTATCCCTATAAAAGTCCCGTTTTCTGTATACAAAAAACTTTTAAATGGCTTTATTTCTTAAACATTGTTGGTAATCTCCTTTTGTGCTTAAAATACATAATTTAATCTTTTTGGATAATGCAGCCTATCAAACTTTCATCAATTTCTTATGGGAGAATGTATGCAAAATAGGAAGAGGAACCGTTAAAATTGTTAATGAATTGCTATTGTCTATGAAATACAATGTATATGGAGATAACGAAAGCTCAGAAGTCGATTCAAGCAAGAAAAACATGGAGCAGAGCAAATATGGACCTCTAAAACATAAGAAGTGGGATCAGATGCCAAAGAGAAGTAGGCATCCCTTGCCGACCCGTCACACCCGCCGTGTGTTCCTTGTCACGATTTGAAAATAACGGGATAATCCGTCGACAATTCAGTGTGTGAATAATGGCCTATGATGAGTATAAAAACGTAAGTCAGCATTTGACTTATTGATAGTTTATATTTGCTGAGAAGTCCTTTGTGTTGTCCTTACAAAGATACATAGCGGGCTTCAGTAAATATTCTACCAAGCATCTTCCTTTACTTCTCATTAAAATAAAAATAAAAGTAAACACGAAACTTCAGGAGTATTGAGCAACAGTATATTCGAGAAGTGGATAGTGAAAAATTCCAAGGAACTACTGGACAATTGGAATTTTTTTACCAAAATCAACAAAATAAAAACTTAGGAATTTACAACTTCATAAACATTCATACTCCATGATAAATTAAAGTCCAGACTTTTGATGTCGTTGACAGCTGCTTATTCGATAAAAATGGACCGCATAAATCTATGTACCTTGACACTGTCCGTTTGCAAAATTAACTCTCTTTTTTTTTTAATTCTGATTGTACACACAAGTACTCTAAAGTTGATATCAAAAAGATGCTTGAGTTTCTGAGATTGACGATATCTCTGTGGTATTTTGAGACCAGGTTTTTCAAAGATCTGTTGGAATTCCCATTGGTACCAATTGCGCCCTGTAATAAGCAGGCCTATTTTTGGGAGTCAGTATTTGCTCTGCTCCTATTTTGTATTGTTTAACGGAATTTTGAGCTTGAATACTGTTCGATCTTTATCTCCAAATATATCATATTTTCCCCATTCTTATGTCAATTTGATATATCCCGGTCATCTGTTTCATATTTGGTTATTTCTTCAGAAAAAGAGGTTAATGGAAATCTAACAATAAAGCTTAATAAACGGTATGATTTTAACCTTCAGTCGTCAACTTCTCATATACTTAAGCAGCAATATACCTTCATCACCCGCGCATACCTCTCAGGTGATTAGATACGCAAGGGCTTGCTCTACGTATGAACCATTTCTAAAACGAAGTAAGTTATTGACGCACAAGTTCATGAAACAAAAATATCAACAAACTCGTTTAAAGTCATCGTTTCCTAAGTTCTATGACCTTGTCAGCAAATACATTCCATCATTCAGTCATATGCTGACTGATATTTTTCATACAAATTGTAAGGCCATTATTTACACATTGAATTGTCGCTGGATTTTCCCGGTTATGGCATGGAGCACACGGCGTTTTTGATCTGTCGGCAGGGAATACTCACTCCTCAATGCCCCCTGATTCCACCCCTGAAGTTTTAAAGGTTCGTGTTTGCTCTGATCCAAAATTTGTATTTATTTTTATGGACTTTTGAGCTTGAATACTGTTTATTGTCTCAATGAAAAAGTAAATAAAACAATGCTATATTCCATAGAATCTACGAAATGATTACTTAAAACGAGATTGTTTGTATTCTTGTTTTCTGAATTTGTTTGTCAATAACTTACCTTGTTTTAAAACTATTACAAGATTGAGACCCCCTATTATATATTTCAGAAAACAGAAATATTTGCCTTCGGCTTCTGTTTATATTTTATTGGTCAAAATTTAAAACTTTATACATTTAAAGTTTGAGTTGATAAAAAAATTTCATTTCAATTCCTGCTTGTTTACATATATTTCTATTGCTTGTTGGGGACTTGAATTCATTCTTTGTTCGTTTTCTTAATTCCTTTTCATATGAACTATATAAACAAAATTAAGAACTGAGTTCTTTAAATTAGAGTAAGGAAGAAAATCCTTTGCCTGTTCTTTGTGTTTGAAAGACATGAATAATTAGCTTGAATGACAAAATAGGAATCATATTTCTTTTTTAAAATATTCGTTGTACGTACTAGTATTAATGTCAATCAAGGAAATTTTTGAAGTATTTATTTTTTTACAGTCATTCCGTCGGTTAACGGATTTACGTGTTCATTTTGTACCTAATTCATAACTTTAAGTTACTTTAATTATTTTCCTGTATATCGTCAGAACCATGTGATATTGAATTTATGTATATGTAAAAATACATGGAGTGCAGCTCAAATTACAGAATATTAAATCCACTGAAAAATTTCCCAATTTAATACACGGAAAAACCTATATCTTTGTTCATGCCCTAAGTCGTTTACTTAAGACACCTGAAATCCGCGCCATATTAAATCTTGTCAGATTTTCTAGACCAAAACTCCGTCTCCCCAGAAACAATCTCTGTACAAAGCAAAGTACAATTAATCCCATTCCTCCTGAACAACATCGCTGTGTGTCAAAAAGTATGGTTGTTTCAATAGGTTTCAGTGTTTCAATGAGTCTCATTGGTTGGGGATGTCGCTTTTTAAATTTTTAATTTAAAACACATGCTAATTGCCTTAAATAATCCTTACATTTTAGATCAGTACACTTATATAAGTAAGCATTTTGGAAAAAAGAATACAATCAGTTTGAAATGGATTTCAAGGAGAATGATATCAAAGTGTACTATATACAATAAAGACTTAATTTACCAATCTATTCTAGTTTACGAGTTTAAACAGAACTAGTACTGAGATAAATGAACACTGAAGGTTGGCAACTATATTTATCGTAAACTCTAACAAACGTCAGACTCGTTTTTGTTACTTTGATTGTTTTATTTTTTCCCACTTTTTTTGAAAAGCCTCCACCCCACCCCCACCCCAATTGCACTTACATGACATATAACGATTTTAAAATAATTAGTTAATTTTTTTTTATAACATTAATAAAATGTATAATCAATAAGTAAATTGAAGTTACTGATATACGTATATGATAAAATATTACATGTGCAAAGTGAACTCCTAACAACGTTAGATCTATATGTTACATACATCTACAATTAATTCTGAAAATAATTTCCTCTTCCTGACACTAAGAAGAGATAAAAAGTAAATGCAGTTTTGTCTTATCTTTAAAAAGATTCAATTTAAAAAGACATTCTAACAAAAGAATCTTATCGGAAAATTCACAGCTTAATAGAGAGAGGGAAATTATCTTTGACAGATATTTTCTTCACTCATTTTTAAAATCCTAAAATTTAAGATGATATTAAGATGATATTCTAGAATATTCTGGAATTTCTGAGGTCCGTGTTTCACGTCCTGTTCAAAGATTTTTTTTCTAGTACATGTATATCTTAAAGTCGCTTTAAAAGGGTAATTTTATGTCTTATTAACATTATAATTGAAATTTTAGGACAAATGATACAAAAAGATTTAATCCAAAAAAAATTCTTTAAAAGAACACATTCAGAAAGAAGTAAAAAGAATAAGTTTAACCGCAAATTATATATTTTTTGTTCAAAATTTCACAAAAATTGGATTTAAAGTGTCAAAAAGTTGCTTAGAATCATAAAAATATATGGTTGCAGTAGGGTATTTTAAACATCCGACAGTTTATGATTTCATAATATTTTAGAAAGTTATTATTTTGATCACTAGCAACCCGAATTGGTCCAAAAATATATAGCGATTTAGGATCCTTTTTTTGTTTATATCATTTGTCATTGATAAGCAAAAATCTGAAATTTCTAACATTTAAACAAATTGATTTCATTTTCAATTTTAAACTGAAAAAAAAGAAAGGGAAAAAAATTTCATTGTTTTCCTTCACAAAGGATTAGAACGTTTTCTTTATGTTTAATCATTTTTGACACAGAATATGGCGTGAAAGTAACAAGATTGCGGGTTTTTTCTTCTACTTTAGAATACTTAAAAAAGATTAAGATTGATAAATCATCAATAAAATAATTACTTACGCTTCAAGTCTATTTGTTTGTAATATGACAAGCAAAACAAGAAACACCGACAGTGTTGTAAATACAGTTGACCTATCCATTTCCATTCGTCCAGTAACCGGCGAAGATTTTCTTTTATATAACATCTAACAAGGAAGTATTAATCCCTGGTCACGCCAAATCTTTTCTCTTTACCGTTGAATATTTTTGAACAAAATATAGACTCAAAGTGACCTTATATTATGATCTGCATCCAGGATACCTAATTTTTACTTCGTATGAATATAATTTTTACATGTATATGCATTCATTAACTCGAGCTATGTGCCATGAAGGTCGAAAGGGTGTAGTGGTGGTATGTGACATTGCCTCAATTCTGTGTGTTAAAGACAAGGAACTAAGGCCATTTAAGAATATTGATTAATTCGAATTTTCATCGAAATTTTTATAGGGAAAAATATGTGACTTACAGAAAAGTTTTTATCAAGAATTACAAACATTGTTTCAGAGATATCGCTTTTGCCAATAATATGGCAAAGAATTTGTCTCTTTTTTTTGTGATTTTTTTTGGGGGGGGGGATATTTTAAATTAAATTATTATTATCATTAGTTTTTTTTTACTTTATTGATTCTGTTCTTTTGTTTTTATTTGTGATGAAAAGAAAGAAAATTATATTCAATTATTTTTTGACTCACTAGTTTTCTAAGCATTCTAACAAATTTTTCGAATCTTTCATTTTCAATTCATTTATGAAAACAATCAATTTACACAATATTTATTCGTTATACATCATGTACATGTTGACTGCAAATTTCTTATATCTAAGGATTTGTTGGTCTTTTTTGTGTCTAAGCGATGTACAACAGTCGACTAATAGTTTCCTATTTTTAAAGAGTTATTTAGGAGTAAAGAAGTTGGTAGATTTCTTTAGTCTGTTATCAATACATGTATAAGTTGTAATTTCCCCTGAGGTGTATGCTTAGGTATTTCCTCTTTATTTACATGTCAATGACAATAATAATGAGATAAGGTAAAGGGCAATTTAAGTTTTCATTGAATATTCAAATTGTGATCAAAACATTATTTATTTCGTCTTAACCATGATCTTCGGCTTTAATAATTTTGCATTTGTTTCCGTACTTTACACGATATACGAGTGTTAAAAGAAAGTACAGGATCTATTACCAAAAAGGAAGAGTATTGCATTATTAAGTATTCTAGATTCTTTTCATATAAAGCTAAATTTAGTACATACGAGAGTGTTTGGTTTCAATTTATATAATGCAATCATTGTTACTTCGAAGGCTGTATATGCAACTCATAACGTATTGTGTTCTCTGTCATATAAGCGGAAAAAAATATAAATAAGACTTAACTAATGGGTTATTCTTGATACTTGTAAATGAACATGTGCTGTGTCTAACAGTAATGTTTTCTGATTGTGATACATTTCAATTCTAGTTTATTGTCAAAATATTTTATTTGTTTCTTAATGATTTTGTAAAAGAAAAAAGGGAGGTTATTGAACCAAGGTATGTAGAACACCAAATAAATATCAATCAATCAGTCCTGTAAGCCTGGCTCAATAAAAAAAAGTATTGATAGTAAAAGCAAAATTAAAAAAAAAATCATTGACGATTTATTTTCAATAGTTTGGAAAATATACTAAACGCCTACGTTGCACATTGCCTGTTTCTAGAACGATTATTATCTCTAAAGACGGGAGTAAGCAGTTGATCTCTTATACTTCACTGGTTCATATCCTTCCGCGGGACGTGGAGATTGGTCTATTGGATGAAACCGCATAAACTGTGGTGCCACACTGCTCTTTTGCACTGAGAGCAAATAATATAGGACTAGATTTGCAGCCCTCCATCGGCAAACGAAAGAGTGAAAAAAATTGGAACTTCAAATGTTTAATATTTGGATATTTGACATGAAAAAGACGTTAATGGTAATCTAGCAACCAATTTTAAGCTCCATGATAAACGTGATGACATTAACTTTTCCATCGTCCACTTCCCTTACTAATGCAGCAATATACCTTCATCACCTGCAAATATTGTTTATGTGTCTCGGGTTCATTCGATACGCAAAAGCATGCTCTACGTATGAACCATTTCTAATCCGAGGTAAATTATTGACACACAAGTTGATGAAACAAGAATATCAGCAGTCTCGTTTAAAGTCATCATTTTGTAAGTCCTATGGTCGATACAATGACCTTGTCAGCAAATACAATTTATCATTGAGTCTAATGCTGACTGACGATTTTCATACTAATTGTTAGTTCATTATTTATACACTGAATTGACGACAGATTTTCCCGTTATTTCCCGATCATGACTAGGAGCACAAGTTGGGTATCACCGGTCGGCAGGTGATGCTCACTCCTCCATGGCACCTGATTCTTCCTCTGATGTTTTGGAGGTCCATGTTTGCTCTGCTCCTAATTTTGTGTTGTTTTATGGACTTTTGATCTTGAATACTATTCGTTATCTCCATATGTTTCATTCTAGTATGTAAATAAAAATACATAAACAGGTTATTAAAACATAAGAGCTAGAGGTACTGTGAGCACTGAGCTCACCTAATGATACCGACGCCTCTCATATGATTATGATGGCAAAGTCAATAGGGAGACATGAATAAGATCAAAAGGTGCATAATAGCAGTACGTGATACAGAATCTGTGAAAGTATCATTAGTAAAGGTACATAGTATTGGTATAGAATTTGCAGATAAGAGATGGTTACCCTTCAATTTTATAGAAAGAAAGACAGTGTCCATATTTTGCTATAGGAAACCCAAAATATGTGTCACAGCAAAAAGTAAAATAGGAGGTGCATAATGGCACTTTGTAGCAAAGATTCTGTAAGAGTTGTAATTAGTTCATTCAGTTGTATAAGAGGAGTTGCAAGAGAGAAGGATACTCAAAGCGTCTTTAACGTGCATATAAAGATCTTTCAAATTATTATTCACATAAGCCCCACCAATTTTCTCTTCAATTTAAATCTGGTCGCCCGCGTGTCGCAGTGGTTAGAGCGTCTGCTCTAGAGTCGCGAAGTAAGGAGTCAATCCTTACGTCGCGGGTTCGAATCCCACTGTGGGACGTGGAGGCCGGTCCTTCGGATGAGACCGGATAAACCGAGTCCCCGTGTCGCAGTAGGTGCTGGCACGAAAAAGATCCCTCACTGCTCAAAGACCCTGAGTGTCGAGCATAGGACAAAATTTGTAGCCCTCCACCGGCAAGTGGTGGCGTCTCCATATGAGTGAAAAATTCTCGAGAGGGACGTTAAACAACATACAATCAATCAATCAATCAATCAATCAATTTAAATCTGTGATTGTGAATCTCTTTGTCTCAAGTATGCTTTACAAAAGCTTATGATATTTATATGCCCAAATAAGACTGTAGTTGACAAAAAACATTGCTTTTTGATATGTTAAAAATCCAATATTGAATGCAACAATGTCTAATGTCTAGGTGGGTGCTACATGCAAAATTATTATAAACGTGAAGACTAACTTTTCAATCGTCAACTTCCCTTACTAATGCAAGAATATACCTTTATCACCTAAATTCGAGTTCATACCTCTCAATTGATTCGATATGCATAAGCATGTTCTACCAGTTGCGGAAACAAAAATATCATCAGTCTCTTTTAAAGTCAATATTTTGTCAATTATTTGGTCGATACAATGATCTCGTAGCAAATTCAATCTATCATGAAGGCAAATACTGAATAACGTTTTCCATACTAATTGTTAGGCTATAATATAGACACTGAATTCTCGGCGGTTTAAGGGAGGGGGTCTAGCAATGTTAACAAATAGCACACGGCGGGTGTAAATGGTCAGCAGGGGATGCTGACTCTTCCATTGCACCCGATCCCACCTCTGCGGATTTTACATATTCTTGTTTGCTCTGCTCCTCATTTCTATTGTTTGAACTTAAATAATGTTCGTCATCTCCATATATTTTATCTAAGGGTTGTTATATACTCACTCTTTCAAATATTGGTTGCGTGTCAGACTGACAATCTCGGGGTTCAATCCCCCTGTTTCATATTTTTACACGAAATACACGAAGTAATAGTAACCTATCAACAAAGCTTGATAAAAAAAAATGTTTTAATTTATTTAATCGTCATTTTTCATCAGAAAGACTCTTCTAAACTAATAATGATTTAGACAAGCTACAACATATATCACAAAAGCTATTATAAACCAATAACTAAGACGAGGCTTTATTTTGATGACGATTTATTTATGATAAATCAATAATCTGAAGAAGAAGAAGAAGAAGAAGAAGAAGAAGAAAAGAAATATTGTTTTATAAAGGTATCAACATTTAGTGTTGTTATAGATTAAATGTTATGATCTCGTGTGGTTAAGTCTTTAGTCTAAAAAAGATTTATTAGATTGATACATTTGGTTACGGTAAAGTGGGTTTATTATTGACTCTTTCAGATTTACTCAGTTGTTGCGTTATTGGAGGTCGTCCAATACATATTCTGTTTTAGTGGTTGGAAGAGTTATCTGCCGTGGAGCTTTGGCTTTGTCACAATCGTTGTACAGAAGAACGGTGACGTCAGAGATTTTGTAACAGGATGGAACATTTTCCCATGTCAATTTGGTTCCATTTCCGAAAGACTCACTTGTCAGATTTCTTATCCCATAACCTTTAATAAAAAGAAAAGGTTGCAATAGTAATAAAAAGAATAATTCATTCGTAAACTAGGCTTTGATTTAAGCTCTAAGTTGCAAAGTATTCAACGGAAAAAAAAACATTTCTTAGAAAAAGACAAAGTAATCCTTAAAATTTGTAAACAAAATTCACATATTCATAAAGATAAAATAAGGGTTTTGTTTTCAGGACAAACCCAACAGAAAGTAAACTTAGCATGATCCAAATCACCCACAACCAGAAACTCACCGTCATCAATTCCATCAAACGATGTCAAACGGCCCAACTGAAATGTAAATAAAATTTCATAAGTTAAACAACATTTCATTTTTTCTATTGAGAAATATTCTACACATCATAACTTACACAGTATTGCCGGTACATATATGAAAGAAAATACCTCGTATCGCGTAACTTCAGATGACAACATGGCTTGGTTAAAGGCTTCAATTTCAAGAACAAATATGTCTTTGGTCAAAAGCGATTTGTCGGTGGCCAACCAACAATTATCAAAGTCAAATTCCATCTTCTTTTTGTAGCATTCTCCCATGGGAATACAGTAACAATCGTCAATCGTAGAACATTCGGACCGCTGAAAAAAAAAATGAAATTTTATTATTGCTTGGTCAGTAAATATTATTTTTATAAGATTTTAAAAAGGAAGTTTGAGCAATGCAGCTTGTTTACTTAACAATACTTACAATGTCAAACTTTAAGATTTATATCAATGAACAAAATTATTAAAACAAAAAAAATTGTAAAATGAACCTGAATGGGATCGTTTCTCAGGTATCCTTCTTTATATATCTCATCCTGTTTGGCCTTGTCTGTTAGTCGCCATCGCACCTGTCGGACACCACTGTGCTCGTCGGAAGCCATGATACTAACTCTGAAGAATAAAAAGAAATTTGTTACTTCGGTCATTTTACAACAATGTGACCAAAAAGCAATCGCTTATGTCAATACAAGTTGCTGTCCTTTAAAAAAAACTACAATACGTGGACCATATGCATGTGTTTCTAAACGAAATTCAATTCAAGACAATTTCTAGGTTAAGTGAATATTCATGTAGGTTTGTTCACATTTTCTATTATGATCTGCCTACTCTGACTGATCAATAGTACTTACATATAGCAAAATTGTTAAATGTTAACTCCGATTGGCCTAAAAAGTTTTGTCATTTTTAATAAAATTGGGCTATATTAACCCATAACGGCTGGGACTTTACATCTGTTTTGGATTTATTCAGAAGAAATCTATAATTGGAAAAATATATCTGATGATACACGTGTAGCACAGCTCTGTAGTACGCAGATTTTTTTTCAGAGCCCCCCCCCCTCCTCCACATGGAAAACCGTTGCTACAGGCCTGTATCAAGCTGTATTTGGATTGCTGTATATATAATTATTTTTGCAAGGCTTGATGCACAAAACAAATGCCGAAGAAGACTTATTCTATCTTTTAAAACCTAGAAATATTCGTTGAATGAAGTTCTTAATTCAAGGTGTTATTCTATATTCTGCAAGTTCTTCCTATACTTTTTAAAATGCATCTGTCGTAGAATCGATGTTTAGTTTCTATATAAATGTGTATGTATAAGAAAGAAATTTGGATTTGCAAATAAATTAATAAATACGATATGCAGATTTAAAAGCGAGATTTGCCGATGAACAAGGTATATTCTAATTCGAATAGGGCGAATTATTCTACGGGTAAGCTGTGAAATCGGAGGGGGGGGGGGGGGCGAACTCTCCCAAACGCAAATTCTCGCGCCTTTCCGACTTGCAGAAGTTGTTTTTCCGACCTCTCACGGAAAGACCCGAAATGACTCTCCAGCATTCTCGCGCATGCGTATCCTGACGTATGCCCATGGCATCCGGTTTAACCTCGCTTATATATTTACTGCGTGGACCTCAGGGTCCACGCAATAAAATTTATTTTTCTATCATCATGTTATTTACGATTCAAAATCTAAAATAACATGCATATATTAATCGATAAGTGCAATTTGAGATTTGATATGGACATAAAATGTTTGAAATCGTAGCACTTCAAATCTTTATGTCCCTTCATTTACACACACATATTAATAAATTTCAGCTTTCAGAATCATTCACACTTCATCCAAATTTGAAAAAAATGCCAGTTTCGTACAAGATTTTAAAAAAGCGTGGTTACCTATTTATATTGGATTGGAGTTAAACTTCGGTTAAATTCATGACAATGAATTCTTTTTGCAACATTCCCTTATGACTTCGGTAATGTATTGAAATTATTGTAAAATGTTAACGATTTGTTTCATGTTTCTGTATGCTTAATTTGTATCTTTATTTCGTAAATGACAGAAATGCGTAAGGTCTTAATTGCCTGACTGTTTATCGTTTATAAAATGAGGAAAGTTCTTTGAAAAATAAATTTACCTGCTTGAATATTTGTATGAACTATTGCCAACATTTTTTGTAAAGATGGCTTCATTCACAGAAGGAGGTGATCCGTCGAAACTGACGAGTCTAGATTCAGTCTTTGTATTATTCATTATATCACGAGCTCTGACAGAGATATTTATACTGTCACCGTCTCTCCACTCCTGTTTTAGTACAAAAGTACTCTGTGTGATATTACGAATTGCAATCCACTTGTTTTCCGTTCCCCCACTTCTGCTTGCTTGCAAGATTGTCGGAGTAGTAGGTTCCACTGAAGTCGGAGCGAACGTGTTTTCAATAGTGTTAGGATTTATAGTTGCTGGCAAGGAACCATGTGAACTTCTTTTCATTCGCATCTTATTTGAAGTATTGGTTGCAGCTAATTCAGCAGTAGTATTTGTGTTGGTAAGATTAAATGGCTCATCGCTGGGGGTTGTTCCGTCATTTGTTGAAGAGGTTAGATACGAAATGTAGGAGTAGAAGACATCAAACCCAGTTATTCCGTTAACATGCTCTACACCAGAAAGTGTTCTTTTTCCGTCGTGATCATCGTACAAATACTTCACATCTTCGCCTTTACTCTTTTCTTCCTCTTCGTTAATATTTGTATCCCTTCCGTCAATTGAAAACTCTTCAACAGGCAATAAGAGATGGTTTTCAACTTGGTATGCGTTAATAAAATAGTTTTCCCACGTGAATTGTATATATGAGCCCCGTGATTGCCAGCTATAATTGCCGAGTTTTTCTGCACTTGACACAAAAAAGTTCGATTCTGCAGTGGTTGAGATGGTAGAATACGGGTCAAATATGGCAATTTGTCGAGCAAACTCAGAATTGTTAGCTTCATCAGTAACTTTTAAAATAAATGCATAAACCCCCGAACTCGAGGGTAGAAATTTTGGAAAAGGGAGAGCAGCTACATTCCTTTCTTCAAGATGGAAAGGATTCCTTTTTGCCTCTATAGTCAATAAATTTGAATTAGATTTCTTCATCAGTTTATGCACAACAAGGGTGTATTTTACGATTCCTGAAGGAATGTCACTCCATCCTTTGACATCGAATGTAAATGGAGCCTTATATGAAATATATAAATAATTGTCAGGTAATAATTTAATTTACGGATTCTGTGATCTTGTGATTTTAGATTTGAAAACATCGGTAAATTGTGGAAAATACAAAGCAACATCCTTTTATCGATTTTTCTATGTTTTATTTTGATATTAAATATTTCAAAACTTTAATATGACTTAATTTATAAGTTGCAAAGATTTCATTGATTGAAAGGCAAGGTTCTATTTACCTTACTTGCATCGTTTGGTATTTTAAATGGTGACAAAAAGTTCTTCGTACAACCACCTGATACTGAACAGTGTGTAGGCTTTAAAAAGTCGAACAAAAAATGTATGGCTTGCTGAGATGATACCCGACTGTATAGTTCCTGTTTGACAAATTGGGTATCGTTCCACAAATCTCTAAATCCGCCCACCTCTGTCATAGCCAGAATGGTCAATCTGAGAAAACACAACTCAGAGATTAATTTTAAAACAATTAATTGTCAAATTGAATGAAGTTGGACTTACCTATCTCCTTCTTCAAGGACCTCGTCGAACTGATCATATGAAACATTACATTTCAGCAGTCCATTATAAGGTACCGTATCATTGTAGGACCCAGGGCATCGTAATGTGGTATTAAAGCGTACAGTAGTATTCTCATCTAAACAGATATTTAAATAAAAATATATTAGCTATCTTATATATTTTTCAAAAAAGGAAATGTTATCCTTTACATTTTTTTTAGGAAAAAGTAGTCATATTTCATATTTTTGCATTGATAAATATTAGTTATTTGGCATTAAATGTAATTTCGATAATCTTATATTTTTGCAATTTTTGATATTTTTATTTGTCGATGTGGTAACTTCATTTATGAATATGATATTGCATGGGTTCATAGAAAAAGCTTTATTCATTAATTTGAAATCTGAATTTATTTTCTTAATGCTTTATGGTAAAGTAATTACTACCTGTTTGGCCTGCTCCGTCAAGACTGACTCTTGCATTCGCAGAAACAATTCCAATGCTATAATTATGGACGTAAGATGGCGGAGGAGACATGTCAAGATTGAAAAGAGCCTCAAAATAAATGAGAAATCGGTTGTCTCTCCAGTTGACCCATAGCGTCCTATCAGAACTAAGATCTTCAACTTTGAACTCATGATCATTGACGCTCTTGACGTTCATAAAATTTGTTCGGAAGTTAGAAAATTTGGCTTGATTTGAAGCATCAACTGAAAGAAAAAGATTTTTTTAATATGAGGTTATCAGAGAGATTGTTATTTGCCTTTCATAATCACATACTAAAAGGCTTTCTCATGGTGCCATGTAAACTTTTGTTCAAATATTATGTCTTCTTTCATTGGTTTGAATATAGTGTACAATCGCTGAATATTTTATGAAATCCAGTACGTAGGGCATTGATAAAACTTTCCACAATTACATGTAAAGAGTATACACAGGTTCATACTTACGTATAGATACGTTTTGTTGTCCAAAAAAATTATTCGAAGTGAGGTCATGCAGTGTATCAGCAATTTTGAAATTGCTTACACAAAGAATGCAATCTTTTCTATCCGATTCGTAGGTCATCTGAGTCAATTTGGTTATCTATATTGCTATCTGTTTTTGTTCGTCGTCGTTCGTCATTTGCCGTTCGTCAGTCGTAAAATTTTGAATATTTTTTTTGGAACCACTGAACCAATTTCAACGAAATTTACCATTAAGCATGTATGAGTGAAATGGAACAGAAATTATAAATTTTCATGATTCCTTCTCCTTGGGCCTGAGGGGTGAGGCCAAAACATATAACAAATATATAGTTATGATGAGCAAGGGTGTCTCTTCCAAATTGCGAATTTTATGGCCCCAAGGTCAGGGATTCTGGTGTTTCTCAAACACTGTATATCTCTCAAATTTGCAATGAGTTGGTATAATAACTTAAACTGCATTGTATGAATTACACTTAGTATATTTACCCCATTCTTTAATCCCTGAATACTGTGACTAGTTGTTTATAATAAGCGCACATCGCGCGGTTACCCCATCCTGTCATTCATCATTTAAAATCATCATATTAAATAACTTCAAGTAAGTTGAATTCGATATGACAAATATACATCTCATATACTTTTTAGCAAGATATAAGGTACCTTTTCTCTCTGAAATAATAATTTTAAAATGTTTAATTAAGTAAAACAATGCACACTTACGACGTAGACAGGATTGTCCTCCGAATCCCTGATCACAGGAACAAGAAGTGTTCATGCAGGTACCCGGATAACAGGGCTTCAGATGGGAACAGGTAACGACTGAAAGTAAACAAAATATCTCAGCATGCAGGACAAAAAATTAATTCTCTTTAATTAACAATTTAATCTATCAATTTATTTAGGTTTCATCGTCCCATTTTCTTGGAGATTTGTTTTTGTATTGAATTAATTGTTATAAATAGACTGCATATTTATCTTATATTTACTAACAATATTTTTCTTTAAAAACGCTTTATGTGGTCTTATAAATAATGCTTGTGTACATTTAGTAAATGATAAAAAGTAAATACCTTCTTCGCACGTAGTCCCACCCACTATATCGGGGCACTCACACGTGTTGGGAGACACACAACTTCCTCCATTTTTACAAGGGGGATTGCAAATTGCTGTAAATAATCCTTACATATAAGGAAAAAGCTGTATACTACAAATTAATGCAAATTTTTATTCAATTCTGTTTTCTTCCTTACGCGTTTGACAGTCACTGCCGACGTATCCTGGACAACATATTTCAGTATTTTTGTAATTTGTAAGACGTCGATATCCCCTTGAGGTGCTGCAATTTATTTGAGTAAAATTATTGAAGCACACTCTTTTACAAATATAAATATATGTTAGACACTTGATATGATAATTATGAAGGAAATCTAGAGAGTACATGCAAACATTTTAAAAATGTATTTCATTTTGATAAGATGTTTACATATTACCATTCTTTGGAATCAAGCCCTTTGAAGTATATAGTGTCTTGGTAAAAAAAAATTAAAAATGTTGTTACACCAAACAAGAGATTTAAGATTACCAATATCAGTATTAAAATGTAATGAGATAGAACACATTTAAGGTGTGTATTCTTGATTGCTTCAAACGTTTAAACCAGCTAGAGGTACTGTGAGTATTTGCCTGGAGACCATAAACTGAGAACAGACTTTTAAGTCAAAATTTTGACTTTTAATAGCTCGTCATTTATATTACACATATTATCAAAAATTTCCAGGTTTGTTTAACATGCCTCTTCAAACATATGTTAAACATTTTGTTTTGTTATCAAAATTATTTCAAAAGATTTGAAATTTTGACTTAAGTCTGTTCTCGGATTATGGTCTTGGAGCCTGGTCTCACAAAATGACACCCTCGCCATCTTTATGATTATTATGGCAAAGTCCATATCTTAAATTTATTCTGTCATGAGGTATTGCACAGAAGAGATGGTTACCCAGAAATTAAACCTGTTTTCGACACTAGAAATAATTTTGCTTTTTAAAGAAAGGTCAAGAAATTTTTATTAGAAAGAGGAATTGCCCAGTGTAAAAGTCAAGTTGTTTTATTAGTTTTTATTATTATTATTAGTTGTTCCAATAACAATCATGGGAATATTTGGTATACATTCATAATACACTTCATTTTTAAGGATATCTGTGTTGTCAACTTGATCCCATATTTTAACTACAGTATTTATATTTATCTGTTTATATCATTTAACATCTAATTAAAATACAAGTTTGAGTATAAGGACCCCATTAGAAATAAGCCACTGGTTTTCATGGGTTATCCTTGGTATACTAATGTAAATAAATGTGAATCATATATATATAAATTCATGTCTTTCAAAAAGTGTTTGATTCCGATATTTTATATTTATTCTATTATTTAGTGCCAACTTTTATTTATATCATAAAATTATATTGTCAATTTTGTCAATATTGTAACAATGTATATGTAGTATACCAAATAAATATCTATCTATCCCATTAATATTATAAAAAGAATGGTAGTGTCCATGTTTTGCACTGGGAAACCAAAAATATATGTTGGATCGAAAAGTGAAATAGGAGATATACAATGACACACTGAAACAAAGATTCTGTGAAAGTCTCATTTAATTCATTCAGTGGTATGAGGGAATTTATGGATAAGAGATAGGTACCTCAAAACGCACAGACATAAAGAAAAACGGAAAAACAAATGGACGGACACCGTTAACACTAAATACCCCCACCCTGCTTTTCAAGCCGGGATATAAAAATAAAATTTTTCTGGTTGTTATTTTGATCAGGAATATTTAAAGAAGTACTTTTGTGATTTTGGGTTTTAAAATTAAAACAAAGATTGTCAAAATACCAGACATACGGGTCACTATACTTTATATTCCCTATAAATTTCCATGCTGTCTTTAATTTAGTATTTTACTTTATCAAGAATCTCTCTTTCTCTCTCGGTTGGTGGGTTTGTAAATGTGTGTTCATTAATCTATCACTTACCACCACCACATAAACGTTGAGGCACAGTACTGTTGTGAAGTATAGTATATCGTCTGCTGTGTGCATTTCTTCCTATAAAAATAAGAGTTTACCCAATAAGGCATTATTTATGGACGAAACATAAACCGTACGGTCACTTTGCAATAATTTTTTTTATTTCTGTCACAAAGGAGTTGCGAAATTTTCCTGATAAATTGATTCCTGATCATCTAATATTATCGCTTTTATTGCTATTTGATACGACACAATTTTTTTTTGTTGGTATACATTTTTAATACAATTTTACATACACATTTAACGTTAGGTTTTAGTAATATTTAATTTTTTCTGCAAGAAGAATTTTGGAGAGGGACGTTAAGGTTTTGCCAATGGTCAACATGTCCAAAAACATATTTTAACAAAAGCTCCAAAACTATTTTGTTTATAAAGTTGAAACTTTTACAGTTTATAAATACTAGTATACCATTGATTAACAATAGAAAGTATCGCTTGATAACATTTTTTGTAAAAATATTTGTAGAGAAAAATTCTTTTTAAAAAATGCAAGTATGTTTTTAAAAATACATCTAATTAATTCGGTACTTTTAGTGAAGCACATTTTTGCAGAATCAATACATGACAGCCCCTGGAAAGTTGTGTTCTCCCTGTTTCCTTTGTCTAAATGTTAACATTTCCATTCCTATGTCGGTACGATATATCCCGGTGAGCTTGAAATAAAAGATACCACAAACTCTGACACATATATTGCAAATTTGGATTTTTTGCTGGAAAAAGACGTTAATAATTATCCAACAACAAAGCTTTTTGACAAATAAGATGGCTTTAACTTTTCAATTGCCAACTTCCTTTACTTATGCAGCAATAAATCTTCGTCACCGGAATACAGGTCTTATATCTCTCAGTTGATTTGATGAGCAAGAACATGCTCTAGGTATGAACAATTTTTAAAATGAGGTAAGTTATTGACAAAGAAGTTGATGAAACA